ATGCCAATCGCCTCCATAAAGCATCCGATGTGCATGCTATATATGTACAAGACGGTGCAGCGTGATGTTCCGGCACAGGTGGATTCCCTTGCCCAACAAGTTGCCGCCAAAGTGGACTATGTCGATACCTCTGACAGTGCAGTTGTTTTGACTCACCCTGTTAATTGGCACGCGCAAGCACCCTTGTTGCACAATGGGGTTCCGCTACAGCTCATCCATGCGGAAGGAGACAAAGTTTGGTTGGACTCATGCCAAGATATCCAACCTGGGGATGAAATCACCCAGAAGAGACTAGTAGGCACCCTGCCTGAGTTGTTTCAAGCGTTTGAGTCTCAGTGGACCGCTTTGTGGAACCGACATGCAGCCGTGCCAGAAAGCCAGTGGCACCAAATTTTGGAGTTTGCCAAGGCTCAGCTACGTCCTGGCAGTGTCTGCCCGCCTGTGTATGATGTTCAATCGGTGAAACGCACGCTCCAACGCAAATCCAAATATGCAGCAACCAGCTTGGATGGAGTCAGTCGTCATGATTTACTCACCCTGCCTGAACATGATCTTAGAGTTTTGTGCAAAGTTTATAACCAAGCCATGACATCGGCTATGTCAGGTCTTTGGCAAAAATACCAGACCCCAGCGAAGTGGGACATCTCGTCCGATCACGGTGTTTTCCAACACATATCGAACCTGGTCCTCTATTGCTGCTCGACACTGGCTCCGTGCAATCAGTCAAGTGGTTGACCCCTTTTTGTGCGGCAATACAACTGGAGGTAGGGCAGCGTTACATGTTGGAACAGCTTGAAGCTGCACACAGAGGAGAAGGTGACGTTTGCGGATTTTCAGCAGATATTGTCAAAGCTTTCAACATTTTGCCCAGGGTCCCTGCACTTGCAGCAGTCAAGCTTTTGGGTGTTGACCAAGGCACCCTTGTTGGATGGGCAGGTGCATTGAGTGGATTTGTCCGGCATTTTGTGGTGCGTGGCAATTTTTCTCCTGGTGTCACATCGGTTAACGGTTTCCCAGAAGGATGTGCTCTGAGTTGTCTTGCCATGCTTGCTTTGACACAGTTGTTCCACCGTTGGCTCCAGGCTACCAATGTGATGTTTACACCGATCTCCTATGTTGACAACTGGGGAGTGATTCTCCGGAATGTGCAGTCCATGAGACAAGCTTGTGATGCGGTGGATGCATTTGCGGAGGCTTTACAACTTGACCTTGACAAGAAGAAGTCCTACTGCTGGGCATCAGACAGAGACAGTCGACGATTTTTGCGGGGTGAAGGTTTTGCAGTTCGACTCCACACCAAGGAGCTTGGTGCACATGTGGTTTCATCATGCCAGTTGTCCAATTTTCATGCTCTTGAACGTTTCAGGCAGTTGGCAGATTTTTGGCAGAAACTCACTAACAGTCCTTGTGTGTATCAACAGAACGTGACCTTGATCATGAGAGTGGCTTGGCCTCGAGCTTTCCATGGTGTTTCCGCTGTTGTCATCGGCCGCAAGCACTTTGACAACCCCCGCACATGCATCATGCAGGCCTTGAAACTGCAAAAGCCAGGAGCAAACCCTGAGCTTCAATGTAGCCTGGAAGGTGATTTGTTTGACCCTTTGCTTTACGCTGCTGCTGAGACTGTCCGTGATGCCCGAAGTTTGTGTGACGCTCAACATGTTGCAGTTGACCTCAACCTTGCCTTGTTCAGTGATGGGAAGCCTGCGTTCAATACGCTTTCAGAAATCGTTGGTCAGCGTTTGCACAAAATTGGTTTTGAGGTTCAACAGGATGCCCAAGTGAGGGATAGCCTTGGTTGTTTCAATCTTTTGTCGTGCCCGTTGGCTGAGTTCGTCATGAGAGCCCAATGGACTTGGACGAAGGTTTTGGCTTGCAAGGTCAAACACAGACGTTCCTTTTTAGGTCTTGAGCATGTGGACTTGATTTCAACCCGCAGGGCTTACAAAAAGTACAATCCGTTTGACCAAGGAATTTTGCGGAAGTATCTTCATGGCGCGGCCCTTGCCAATGATCAGGCTCAGCACTGGTCTCATGATGGGTCCCAGCAATGTCAGCAGTGTGGAAGCCTTGATTCCGTTCGACACCGCCTCTGGGAATGCCCGAGCACCCAGCCTCTCCGTGAAGAAATCCCAGAACAGGTGCGGATAGGTTTGACTCTTTTGCCTGAAGTGAGCTTGTTGCATGGTTGGACACTCCGTTCGCCGTTGGCTGAAGCTTGGAACAAATACCTTGTGGATTTGCCGTCTCAGCCTTCCTTTGCTGTGGATTTTTCCCCGGGGGGCATTCTTGACCTTTTCACTGATGGTTCTTGCCTGTACCCAACCGTTCCTGAACTGCGCATGGCTAGTTGGGCAGTTGTCCGAGCTCCACCGTTTTCGTTGGACTTTGATAAGTCGCAGTTTGTCCCTATCGCTGCTCAGCCTCTCCATGGACTTCTCCAATCGGCCTATCGTGCGGAACTGTTTGCGGTTTGTGTTGCAAGGGACTTCGCCATCCAATGTCATGCTTGCGCTCGTGTATGGTCCGACTGTCAGAGTGTGCTTGATGCCTTCCAACGGTATGTCAAAGACAATGAAGCAGTCAAGCCTAATGGCCTCCATTCTGACTTGTTGCTCCGCCTGCAAGACCTTGCCAAGCAGCTTGGACCTCATAGACTTGCCATGATGAAGGTCCCAGCACATCAACAGCGGTCAGATGCCGAAACTGACCTGGAATCTTGGCTTTTGGATGGCAACAGTGTCGCTGACACAGCTGTGGGTGTGGCCAATCAAACCCGTCCACCTGCCACCTGGGCTTTGTGGAATTCCTATGCTGAGCAACTTGCAGATAACAGTCTTCATGCGTCTTGGATCAGGTCCCACATGCTAAAGGTCAGTAAGCTTTGGAACCATGTAGTCCCACCCAACGTAATGCCTGCTCCTAAACCCCATAAGCCAGTGCGACATGGTCGACAGCATCCGGGGCCTGCTTGGGATTCCTCTCAAGGGCTCAGCCTCCGTCGTCCCACGTTTGTCCGCCAGTTTGGGTCCGAACTTGCATCCGATGTATATAGCTGGTTGAATCGCATCCGTGATCGCAGTCGCCTAGGTACGTGTCGTTCATCCAGCTTTTTCTCAGCTTTCAGCGCTTGCACGGTCCGTGGCACATCGCAAAGGTCGATGGCAAATGGATGGCCGAAAAGGGCCACCTAGCGTCGCTGGCGAACCATTGCAAACTCTCAGTTCGGGTGAAGCACTTCAGACTTATGGTCCAACAATATCTGAAAGATGCGGGGGTCAAGTACACTTGTTGCACCGTTCGTCCCAGAAGTGATTGGATTTTGTGTTTCAAGGGTTCCATTGGTTTTCAGTTTTGTGACGAAGAGCACAAAGTTATTGAGGGGATTTTGGCCACCAAACTTTTGGCGCCTGCCACAGGGGATGGTGCATCACTCGAATCTTTGAGGGGAGTCTGACTGTCAGTGGGTAGCCGTAGTTGCGAGACCCAGCGCGGATCCGCGGCAGTCAGGAGGAAAAAACATTTTTTATTTTCCATAATATGTGGGATAATCCTTCCCATTGACTAATTTTATCAAGATGGTTAAAGCCACCAACCAGATAAGCATAGAATATATGTATATAACATATATATATACGCATCATATATGATATAATATAAATATATAATATAATATAATATAGATAATATAATATAATATAATATAACATAGTATAATATAATATAATATAGTATGATGTAATATGATATGATATAATATAATATGATTTATATATATAATATAATATACTATAATATAATATAATATAATGTAATATAATATGATATAAATATAATATAATATCATATATATATAACACATAAATATAATATAATATATTATCTATAATATAATATGATATAATAATATATATATATATAATATATATAATATATATATATATATACTATAATATACAATAATATATATAATACGATATATAATATAGTATATAATATATATATACACAATATTTGACCCAAAAATGAAAGGCATGGGCAGAGTACATGCTTAGCCTCAGTTTAGGTACTGTAACCATTGGGTGATGAACTCAACCATTCAGGCACCGGTGGCCACATTGCTGTGAAATGCTGTGAATCATTCAATTTTCAGGTATTTCAACCAGGATTTAAAACTGCTTGGTGGTGACTGGAACCATGGAATTTTGAATGACTTTCCAGAAACAGTTGGGAATGGAATGTCATGATCCCAACTGACGATTCGTCATATTTTTCAGACGGGTAGGCGAAAAACCACCAACCAGTTTAGCTATCATGGCCCATTGATAGTTGATATACCTATTAAAGATAGTGATTTTCCAGTTAAACCACCAATTTTTGATGGGGAAATCAACTATAAATGCTGATTTTCCGTACCAGAAGCTGATCGCCTTCAGACAACATGGACACTTTTTCAAGGCAAGTTCCCGGAACTGCACGGCAGGGGGTTTATCGCAAAAGTGGTTTGGTTCAAAGTTGTGCCTGAGAGTCAGTTACCTTAATCAAAAACATTTAGGAAGCATAGGGTTATCTAAGTTATCTATATGTATATATACATCTACAATATATATATACAATATATATATATACAATATATATATATATATTTACATATGCATATGACTATGTGTTTTTATATGTAAGAGAAACCATATGTATATACATACACGTCTGTCTTATTGTGCTTATTATGTACTCCCTTTGATTTATGAGATTGGTAGGCTTGAGCTAGCTGCTCAGCTTTGTTGGAGCTACGCGGCTCATACTTCTACCTCTGATGTTTGATGACTATATATGTGAATCATAATAAGTAGTTGATTCCTATACCCACAGTTTTGTATAAGGAATCAGCGAGATATTATCGTCCATATAGGCAATAGGAATACCCATCAGGATATACCTATGATTTCCATCGTTTTTTCCATATGACTGGGGTAAGAACCATCCATTCACCAGCGCAGGCGAAGCCGGAGCCCAAGAAGGCGCGGTCTTAGCGGAGCCTTGAAAAAATACCATCCTCTAGTGGTGATGGTGTATTATTGGCTTTACCACATTACCCTCTGGTAAACATACAAAAAACTGTGGAAAATCACAATCTTTAATGGGTAAATCAACTATAAATGGCCATGTTCAATAGCTATGTTAAATCAACAGAGGGTATTTCCAGGGTGTTTCTGATCCATTTTTCCGCGCCTGCCAGGTCAGGGTCTCTAGATTTTATCAGGGTTGCTTCCGCCTCCTCCTTCCTTCTCCGAATGGGCAGCCTCCGACTACGCCCTCAACTGTGTGTTAATCAGAATATGTGCCTTGAAATGACATGGTGAAGATCACTCGAAGTAAAGTAATTATACTTGTAGCTCGTCTTTGGTTCTGGTGGATTACTATGGCCATGGATAGACTCACCAGCTGGAAATGGCAAAGCTTGTTTGGCTGGGTGTCTATACAAGATTCACCGAAGAAGAAATATGCCCAAAACCATGGACATGACATGTCATCACTTTTCCTGGGTTTTCTCACGAAGTTCAGACCAGAAACCGCTTTTTTTCTGCCCAAAAGTCTCCATGTTTCAGGTTCCCATTACCATTATTCTCCATTCGGGGATTCTCCCCGGCAACATTGGAAATCTCGGAAGTAGAGTTTTTGTTTGAAAAAAAACATAACCAATCACCCGACGGGAACTGTTCACCACAAATATTTTAAAATCACCATATGACTCAGCAATGACCATTCAAGTCATTCAAGTCATTCAAGTCATTCAAGTCATTCAAGTCATTCAAGTCACCATGTGAAGCACCATTACAATCACCATGAAAATCACCATCGGCCAGGTGTCCAGGGCCAAGGTGCCAAAGCAGGTGAGTTGGCGCGACCTTCCCAAAGATGTCGGGGCTGAGGAGGCTGTTGGTCAAGCTTCAAGGGCAAGGGGAATAGATGGGGAAAAATATGGACCAAATAGTGAATTCATGGTGATTTTATGGGGGTTAATGAGATTTACCCTCTGGTAAACTAACATACCTATGGAAAATCACCAATTTTAATGGGAATACTCACTATAAATGGCCATGTTCAATAGCTATGTTAAATTACCAGAGGGTAATGGTGAGTTTATGGGATTTAATGCTGATTTGATAGTGGCTTTGACTTGTGATTTCATGGGATTTGTGATGATTTCGGGAGTTCGGAAGTCAAGAGGGATCCCCAAGTCACCATGGGTTTCAATGCTAAGTCCTGGTCAAATGACTTGGATGATTTTGGGGGTACCACCATTTTAGAAAACCTCCATATATATATATAATATATATATAATATATATATATACATAATATATATATATATATATATATTATTGTGTGTATATATATATGTATGCTACTCCCCCCTCCAAAACCCATCGCGGACAAGATTCAGAAGATTCAGATGCTTATTGATGCAGAAAACATGTTTCTTTTCAGAATGATATTAAGCCGTCCTTCAATAATGATGCACCAGATTCCTACACAATATGCAGTGTGTGATCAACATTCAGTATTGCTGTCGAAAAGTGCAATGGTCGATGCAAATTGCTGCATTCCTGGAAAAACATGTTGTTAAAGGAACATGCTGCTTACAGGGTACAATCTGCCTTGATGATATTTCCTCAAGTAAGAAGCAGTATTCCTGCCGAATCATACAATATGTGGGAAAATGCAATACAACCTTTAATGAATCAAATGAAGCTCAGCCTTCCTATTGTGTTTCTCGTATGACAATTTTTGCAGGAAAGACTTCACTTCTTCAAAGCAATTGCCCAAGCCCATAAACAATCCATGTCCCAAACAGCATCTATTTATACAATTTTATACATACAATCCAACAATTTATTGGACAGCAACAAAGACTTACAATATATTAGATATACCAACAAGTACTGTATATTGGGTCGAATCCGGTACAGGTGGAGGCGGCAATTGTCCCGGCCTCTCAGCCTTGCCGCTTTGGCAAAAGCGGGCCAAACTTGGTGTCCATTCACCAAAAAAGTGGGGAGAAAGCAGCAACAACTAACTGGTTTTCAACATTTTTGCAAGATATGCTTAGGATTATTAACCTGTCAAATTTGATATATACCATCCTGACAATGCGATATATCATGGTATTCTGCCCCCGCATTGCCATTTGATAGAGAGAAAAATATGATTAACGAACACATCTATTTAAATACAACCATTTTTGGGGACCCCCAAGCTATCCAAGTGATGTCCTGAGGTCTCTTGGGACCCCGAAACCGAACCGCCCGGTGTGTTGAGCGCGACCCAAGGTTCACTGTTGACCAAGGGTTGCGATTTCAAAACGATGCACTTCTGGCTGAACATCTAGAGCCTTATTGGGCCGACCTGTGCTTCAAAAGTTGGGTGGCAGCAAGAGGTTTTTTTGGAGTCCTCGGCCTGTTCAATTTTCGATCTCAGCTTTGGATGCAGCCCACTTCACCCATATATCCAATCTGATTTACCCTCTGGTAATCAAACGTGGCTTGCTGGAAGATCCCCCATTCACTTCGATAATTTTCCCAGCTGTCAACCTCTATGTATAGGGGAGTTTTCAGCAAGCCTCGTTTGATTACCAGAGGGTAAACATATTTAAACTTCAAACCACCAACCAGTCTTTCTTCAGCCATGCTCACAAACAGTTCACAGACGCCGTGACACAAGTTGTGACCCGATTCGGATGATTCGGAGTCGTTTTTTTTTCTCAATATTTTTCAACCACGTCACCTGGTCTAAATTCCTGCGACCTTTTACGAAATAGCCCCCCTATCTTTTTTCTTCCTGGTTTACTGCTGGATCTATTCATGTCGGGACTCAGGTTTGTGGGAAATTCATATACAGATGATACGTATATTATAGACACGTGGCTATATATATATATATTTGATTCTATTTGTAGTTGATTATAGTTATAATATGTTATAATATAATATAATATAATATATTTATATATATTATGACATATTATAACTAATATATACATGTGGTTCAGTGTTTGATCTTTTCAGTTAGGGACTTCATAGGGCTTGAGCCGGATAGCCGGATAGCCGGATAGCCCTCAAGAGCATCTTCAAAGAAAGACATGACTGCCCATGAAAATCCCATCAAAACTGATGGCCTATAGCTCCAAATATAGCTGCACTTTACGATCGACGAACAGTGTCTGGGGCTGGGCTACTGTGGCTTTTCAATGGAAGAAGAAGCAGAGGTTTGCCGGGCTGTGCACATTGCTGCTGTTGTCCTAGTATGCCAGCGACTGATGAAGAGAAGTCCATTGCATCCAGAGTGTTCACTGTTGAAATCTCAGACTTTTGCATAGAACACAGGAAATAATGAACATCAATGATAAAGCAAGTATTTCACACATAAACAGTCATAAACACATCTCCCAAAGCCAATGAATTTTGAGGCTTCCATCAACGTTGCCCAAATCCCAACCTCGAGCTACTCAGATCCAAACCACTGATGTTGAGATGGTCCTTGGTCCTAAAAACTGTGGACAGTTCGGTCCCTCTGAAGACCTGTTCCAATGCCCCGGTGGCTATCAATGCATGCTGTAGTGTGACCATTCAGAAATCATTGATGTGGCCATTGGTGTCCTTGAAAACCAATCACTTGGGAGTATTTCATGTAGGGGATTGGATGGGATCACATATTTATCTGTACAGTTCAACCCGGGGTGGGAATTTGTAGTCATGATGCCCTTGTTGATCTTCCCCAATTGAATGTACAGCTTGACGGGGGTGGGAATTTATATTCGTTATTCGCTTGTTGCATCAACATTTGATTGGGGATGGGAACCCACAAAAAATTGCAACGTCTCAGTTTTGCAAAACTCAGGCGTTGCGGGTACATATATATATATATACATATAATATACATACATATATCTATATATATATATATATACACATAATATGCATGTACCAATTGTTCATTGGGGCTTTAGAATACCAGGTTTCGATCCTTTCGCAACAAACATGCTATAAACGATCAGACCCCTACAGCATGCACTGAGCGTTTCAAGCGAATGATTATTCTTGTTTTGTAGCGTCGCCACTGAATCAACTGCAGCCACTGAATCTGGTTGCTGTTCTCTCAAAGCTGAGAGTCCGAGCAGTGTGAGCACCACCAGATGGGGAACTTATTGACCCAATCTAAGACCTTCCGCAATCCCCCGCCCAAAATGATCCATTACATTCCAATTCAAAACATGGTTTCTGAGGAGCGATTTGTTTCATCGTAGGATGGGACTACTATGGCTACCATGGAATCATAGAATCAGAGGCTGCCATGCTGCTCCATCGGAGGCATCCAGTTGACATCCTCACCTACCCGGGATGAAATCTATTCCATATGTATAGATATGTATAGATACACTTGCGATTATCATGTTGTACATACAGTATAATGTACACTCAAAAATGATCTACATATATATATATATATATGTACATCTATATAATCTACACATTATATGTATATAATATCCATATATATATATATATGATGTACACATATATATATATATGATGTATATATATATATGATGTGTATATATATATATACAATATACATATAATGATACATATATAATTTCATACTTCTGGTGAAGCATTCGTCGCCTCGCTGCTTTTGTTGTTCCACGGACCTCATGGAGGTTGATCCTGTCGTCGAACTTGGGGACGATGAGAGCTGCTACCCCATTAAAAATGGTGGTATTATGGGATTTAACCATCAAAAATGGTGGTATTTTGGGATTTTACCAACAAAACTGATGATTTCGATGGGATTTGTATATATCATGTGGGTAAAAGCAATGCCATTTTTACCACCCCATTTTTGATGGTTTATACCACCCATAAAAATGGTGATGACTGGGGGATGGTTTATGGCATTGGTTTAACCACATTAACTGTGCTCAGAAAAGTATTCAAAAACCAAGACAATCCATGGGAGAGACAATGATATATTGCACGGTTTGTCTCTGAACATTGTTTTTTGGAACATGAGGTTTCAAACCAGAGGATTTGCTGATGCAAAGGAGGGCGTTCCCATTTTTTTGTGATCGAATCGTTACAATAGAAAAATGCTGAAACAGGTATATACACCTCCCTATATCAGGAGGTGAAGTGATCCGGGGTTGACAGTAAGCAGACTATCCATCATTTGATTTCACGAGACCGTTGAAATCTCGTCACCATTTTCGAGACCGGATGAGCGTGGATCGGTACTGTACATAACCGCCATAGCATGCCATAGCTTAATTCAGGCATTTAAACCAGGATTTAAAGTTATTTGAAAGGAACGGTTCAGCACGGCCAGTCTGGCATCGCTGTTCCACTTGGAGCTGCCAATTCATTGTTCGGTGGCAACATATTGAACAATGAATGTGGTGCCAAGAAGCTTCCATGTGGGGATAATATTTACCACCCATATATACATATATAAAATAAGATAAAATATATAATATACATATTACATACCCTCTGGTGAACTAACATAGCTATTGAAAATGGCCATTTATAGTGGATTTACTCATTAAAAATAGTGATTTTCCATAGCTATGTTAGTTTACCAGAGGGTATATATGTACATATGTATAGCAACCCCCAAAAAGATTAAGAAAAGTTGGAAGCCTGGAATGGAGCAGCCACACATCACCTGGAAATGACATCCGAATGGAAGACTTTTCGACATCTTTTTGGTGGTTACTATATGGTAATACTGGGGTTGATTATTGGTTTGGCCACATTTTGTCAGCCTGGCTACAAGAAAAAAGCCCAGGTGGCCGGAGATGTTTTTTGGGATGGAGATCCAGGGGTATTTCTCCGAAATCACCCCCAAGTCCATTGGTTTATCATGATGTTTTCCATTTAGGGTATCACATCTAGCTACTGTGGATGATTCGAAGAGTGGCCCACACCCAAAACGATTTTCTGGGCGTTTCGAGATGACTTGAACTTGGGAAATGGCTGAACATTTACCTCATGGTTGCCACTCCTGGATTACTTCTTGGTATTCAAGGCTATTGCATGCTATTACTACACTCTGGTAATTTTAAGATACCTATGGAAAATCACCATTTTGTAATATTCGAGTCGCTTCGCGACGAGTACCGCCCGCACCCAGTGAATAGGACAGAGAGGAAAGAAGCAGGCTCGTGGCAGCTGACTGGGGTCAAACTTGGCCGTCCTTGGCCTAAGTTGGGCCAAACACGAGCCAACTTGGGTTCAACTTGCTAACTTGCGCCGAACTCGGGCAAGTTGGCTCCAACTTGAGCCCAACTGGGGCCCAACGTCGCGCAACTTGGGCAAGTTTGAGCGCAAGGTGGAATTCATATGTGCAACTGGGTCCTGTGCGGGCACAGCTTGGGCCCAGACTGCCCCCAAAGGCTCCAACTTGGGCCCAAGTTCGGCCCAATGTTGCGCTATTTGGGCTGAAGTTGGGCCCAGATCAATCCAGATGGACCCCAAATGTAAGAAATGGCGCAGCTTGGGACCCTTTGGCGACAGTTTCGGCCCAATGGAGACACAACATGGGGAACATTGCTCAACACGAAGCGTAATCAATACCAAAAAACGACCAAAAAAAGGTGGAAACTACACGTGAAAATGCGAGTTTTGAATTTCCTACTGGGCCCAATTTGTCTGATGTTCGGCCCAAGTTGGGCCGAAGGTGCAAGTTGGGCCCAAGTTGGGGCCTTGTTGGCCAAAGTTGACCCCAAGTTGAGCCCATGTTGCAGCCATGTCGGATCGAAACGGTGACTGTGGACGCTGTTGTGCCGGTGTGCAGGCTCCCAGCTGAAGCTGTACCAGTGAACAGAGGATTGTTCGAATCGATCGGATCCGCTCCTAAACTATCTCACCTCCGCACCTTCGGCGCTGGCGGATTTTTAAATAGGCAGCCCATCTATAAAGCACCATTTTCAATAGTAACGTTATTACCAGAGGGTTGTAGTAGTACATAGTAGTACAGTGCGCCACTGGCCGTTTAAGGCTGACCTCCTGAGAAGTTTCGCCTTAACTTAACCAGACCGTTTTTTCCAGGTTGCTGCCGGGCATCATGGGCCAGGATTTGATTGGATGTTATCAAATCTGAGGCGCAGCCATTGGGGATGGGTTGAAACCTATGAACTTATCATTTGGTGGAGGTAATCAACATCCATAAGCCAACTATTTCAAGGTATGTTCCGGGTACCAGGGTTTTGACTCATAAATATATACCGCTGTCGAAAATCCCGCGCAGTGATGTTTGAAGCGAAATGCAAATGTCGACCAGAAATTGCCGACATCTCTGCCACTGCGTGCGGTGAGGCAGCACGTTTGAAGGGCGATTGTACCTGAGGTGCTTGAATTGTTTTAATCGAGTTACAACATCTTGACATGTAGAAGTAAGTATTCAAGTTGCGTATTTCATTTGGGGATTTGCCAGAGTTACAAAATGGGGCCCTTATTAGCAGATAGCTCAGCAGTTCCCAAAATACATAGAAATATTGTCAAACTATGGCTGGCTGGTGGGTACGCGCCTCGCATTTGACCCTACCCCAATGGTTTCGCATATGACCCTACCCCCATTTTGGGGTAGGGTCGAATGTGAGAAAGTAGCGTTTTTAGCTGCGAAAAGAGGGTCCCGGAGATGATGATGATCATGATGATGATGATGATGATAATGATGATGATGATGATGATGATGATGACGATGGACGATCATGATGATGGTGGTGATGATGATGGTGATGATGATGATGATGATGATCATGAGGACGGTGATGATGGTGATGATGATGATGGTGATGATGATGATGATGACGATGGACGATCATGATGATGGTGATGATGATGGTGATGATGATGATCATGATGACGGTGATGATGGTGATGATGATGATGATGGTGACGATTTTGATGATGACGGATGATCGTGATGATGGTGATGGTGATGGTGATGATGATGATGATGATGATGATGATGATGTCACACACACACAACTTTGTCACATACAACTTTGTCACACACAGCTCTTTCACACAATCTGTCTTCCACCATCTCCTTCACCTTTGCTGCCTTTCCCCTCCCATCTTCTTGGTTGTTTTTTGCTTTTGGAAGAAGTTGGCATGTGGGGTTATCCGGTCCCATAAGTGACGATGATGATGATGATGGTGATGATGATGATGAGGATGATGATACCAATGAATGTAATTGTTCAAGGGGGGCTGGTTGATTTCATACCAATGAATGTAATTGTTCAAGGGGGGCTGGTTGATTTGATGCCAATGAATGTCATTGTTCAAGGGGGGCTGGTTGATTTGATACCAATGAATATAATTGTGCAAGGGGGGCTGGTTGATTTGATACCAATGAATGTAATTGTTCAAGGGGGGCTGGTTGATTTGATACCAATGAATGTAATTGTTGCATGTAATTGTTCAAAGGGGGGCTGGTTGATTTGATAGCAATGAATCAATGAATGTAATTGTTCAAGGGGTGCTGGTTGATTTGATAGCAATGAATGTCATTGTTCAAGGGGGGCTGGTTGATTTGATACTAATGAATGTGATTGTTCAAGGGGGGTTGGTTCACGGATGTCTGGTTTGAGGCAGGGTAAAGTGGGGTAGGGTCAAATGTGAACCGGGAAGTGTTGTTTTTTTCCTGGAAGGGTTGCGTATTTTTGTTAGGGTAGGGTCGAATGTGAGGGTGCGTGCGGTTCTTTTGGAGTAGGGTCGAATGTGAGGCTGCGGTAGGGTCGAATGTGAGGTCCGTACCCTTCTGGCTGGTGGGAATCTGGTTAAAACTCGAGAAACTGGAATCAGAACTGTGGCTCTGTGGGTTTCTACTATATGTCTTTCGATGGAAACATACGTATGCCAACTCTAAAAAAACTGAAGCAGTGCTATATAGATTATATATATATATATATTAGATTCTATTAGTCTATTACCCATGACGGATCCATGTATGCTATATATGGTAACATTTACCATCAATATACCCCAGTCATGTTAGCATATACACCAGCACCATGGATCGTATGGGTTATATGTCCATACTGTTCGATATCCGTTTTGTTTCTAGCTAGATACACTCCAAACTAATCCAATAGGTTGGTCCGAGCTGCGGTGTTGAGAGGATGCCATGGGAACGTGAGGGGAACGTGCGGGTTTAAACCATGGCCAGGCGATTACCACATCTAATTTGGACCTTACATAATTATACATGGTTTAAAATTACAAAAATAGTTGACCTCACCAAACATGGTGGTGCTACTCTTTTGTGCACATATTTGGGTACAAAATAATGACTCACGTAAGGGTTGTGAGATAATATTAATTGTATGGAAAATAGACCGTACTCTGATGGTCTTTGGCATCGCAGAAAGTTTATTTTTGTAAAACATTTATCAAAATTTAACACAAACCCCGTCAAATGCTGTCCATTTTTCCCTTCTGCCACATTCGTTCACCATAGCACTAAGGTTGCCATGTCCATTGATTGCTGTCAGATGGTTGATGGGCTTCTATATGCACCACTGAAAATAACAGAAAATTGTTGGAACAGGAGAAAAAAGGTTATGGAACATGGGAGCTCACATGATTAACACATTTTAAACCCATGTTCTGTGCAATTTCAAGTTTCATGTTCGATTTGGGGGTTTGCAGTGTACCATCTCCATTTTTTAATTTTCGAATTCTGTCACTTCAAAATTGCCTCAGGCAAATGCCCGCCTCTGGTTATTATTTTCCACGGGCGTTTGCGTCGGCTTGCTTGGATAGCAGCTGGCAACTGTAAGTACAGTGCAACTCGACTCGACCATGTCTAAGGGGTGCGGAGACGAAAAATGCACAACTAGGATGCTGAAAAAGAAAGAATCACATCCCAGCTGGTTGGTGGTTGCAAACATTTTTTATTTTCCATAATAGATGGGGTATCATCCTTCCCATTGACTACCAGCCAGAGATAGACTATGTTTTGCTGTATTCAACAACCCGCAGAAACCGTGGTTTGCGGTGCCGGGGGGTGACATCACATATTTTGGGGTGCCGGGGAGGTGCACCTTTAGCCTGACTTTGTCAGTAGATGGGGTGGGGATACCCCAATAGCTGGATGGTTTATAGTGGAAAAAACCATTCAAAATGATGATTCAAGGGTACCCCATGACTTAGGAAATGCCCATATCATTTGGTCAACCGAAACCATCCTGGTGGTAGAAACACTCGACACGATAGGAGGTACATCACATCACCGAATTCGCCAGAGGCCAATTCCCACCTATCGAAAAAACAGATACGGAAACTCAGGAAATGCATTTTACACTTCTTTGCGTTACTTTGGGACCACTGTGTTGCTTTAAGGATTTTTCTTTAGAGGAAACAAACTACCAGCCAAACATGGAGCCTTCCTCTGAATTTTCAGGCCAACGTTGCAGATTCCGATTCTGATTCTGGGTTATCTTGACCTCACCATGACGTTACCATAGATGATGATCGGGCGTAGGCCGAAAAGCAAAACCCTTACTCCAGGTCGGTGAATTGTGATGAACAACTTCTGTTTCCAACGGTGTCAAAGCTCATTTTCCATATGAACGTTGCCATTTGTAGGGTTTTGTTATGTTGATTATACATGGTTATACAGTTATAGAATGGTATAGAATGGTATAGACTATAGACATCCCCACTATAATTCTCATGCTTTTCCTTTTCAACGTGCCATATCCATATCTAACCGCAATCCCCTTAGGCCCCGCCATGGCGAGTGCTTAAATCCTGGCCATGAGATGCCAGGTGATTATATGGATGCGAGGTGAAAACAGCCATTCGTAGGTTGGCCATTTCATCGTTCTGACCATACTTGGTGGCTCCAGTTAGCAAGTGTTTAAAAAAAACAGTTATAAGTGGGATAAGTAGGGTTAGTCCACCAAAACAAACTAGGATCATAAGCCACTTACGATTCGTGGGATGAGCCACCAAGTAATTGTTATAACGTTTTGGATCATCACTATGTATGAATAGCATTGAATAGCCATAATCAATGGTCAAGGTATGGTTAATCCCCAAGAGCTGGATGATGGTACCGGGGTACCCCCATGACTTAGGAAAGCTCCAAGCTCCAGAGGCCATGAATTGGGTCGTTTGTATGAACATATTGAGATTATCCTGGAGAATTATATAGAGAATCTTGGAATGTTTTGAATTTTGATGTATTTTGTGTGTAGACCCCATTTTCAGACACGGGCCATGCCCACTTTGTGCTTCCATGTATTCATAAGAACTGTTATCCATGGCAAACGAAAAAACAATGAGGACTGACTCTCCTGCAAAAAAAGCCAGGCGGTCGACCCATATGCTCCATGGAATATTTACAAACATGTGCCCTAAAAATCACCCAAATGTAGATAAATAATATTCCATACATGGAGCATAGGGGTGATGATATGACGATGGACTTTTGCCACGGGAGTCTGATCTTCTTGACACATGCTGACCTCATACAGCTCAGTGAATTGGAAGCCACTGTTGAGATTGGGGGGGTGACATCTACGCTTCAGGGAATATAGCCTGGCCAGCGAATTCTACCTCATCATCTCATCTATCTCTACAAATATCATTTCATGTGGATATAATAGTAATATATTGTAATTGTATATGTGTAAATACATATACATCTATATGACATAATATACTGTAGCATATCAGTAAACTGGCAACAATGGCAGCCTTGTTTGGGTTCGGGGTGGTACCATGATGGACCACGATGGATTCGTTTCTTTTGGATGGAGTTCATGTTGATCCTTGGACGATATATTTTGTTTGGGGGGAAATGATTGACAAATTGTGGGATTCAATAGCTATCTTAGTTTACCAGAGGGTAGTTTTCATAGGGTAAGAGAGGGTAAGATCCCAGCTTTGATTGCTTCAAATCCAGATCCAGTAGGGCTGCGATTCCTCTTTGCCTGAGTGTGTGGCTGCCGCTGAAAGGGTTCAAAGAGACTGTACGAGACTTCTATGATCTACATCATTCTGTATCTATTTGATGTATGTTCAATACATCATAAAGTCACACATCATTAAGACACTCACTATCATTTTTTCAACCGACTCCTTTTGACCCGCCCGGTTTTTGCCCGGTTTTTGCGAGCACGTTGCAGCTGGAAAAAGCGTCCCGCGCAACGGCCGCGCGTTTTCACCTAGATCTAGTATGGTAAAGGAGAATTCAGAGCCAATGGATGAAGCCACGAAAGTGGTCGACCAGGTGCTCAGGAATGTAATGGGAGAGTCCGTAGGTCACCTGAAGTTATGGTTGCCAGATACCAGATGGCTTGGTATTTGTAGTATTATCATGTATAATCTTTTCAGATGCGACAAAAATGATGGGAATTGCAAGCGGGAGGGCATTTAGTAGCCCGAAATCCATTGGTTCACCGCTTAATTAATCATGATTTTTGCCGGCTTGGGAATGTCCCCCATTTTTGATGACCAGGGCAGGAAAAACGGTCAGACTTCCGCAGTTTCAACGCTTATCTTTTCGGGAAATTTCAGGCAAGCTTTGGAGAAACACATCATTTTTGACGGGATGGCTTTAAAATCTATAAGTAATATACAATGAGCATGGAAACATATGCCAAAAGTGCGAAAAAAAGGAATGCAAGCTTAACATGAGTGCGGTGATATTTTTCTGATCGTGACGATAGTAGTAGCAGGGTGGTTTGTTCAAAGTACTCAACCCAGAGCGGGTGTAGGCTGTCTTCGGAATCTTCAAGCAAGGAGAACATCAAAACCATATCAAATCAATGCCTTGTGCAACAAATGCAAATGGAATCTTCTACTAGAGATTATCATCTGAGAGTGGCCACAGTATTTTTGCGAACTCTTTGCCAGGTCTTCGATTATCCCTTAAGACTGATGAAAATGTGTCCTCGCTCCCATCGTGTTCAACTCGCAGGCCCGCGAAGCAGCAGTTGAGAAAGTGGTGTGCCCCATCTGCCCCAACCTCGGGTCCTCATGCCATGCTTCAGCTCGTGTCTGAAGATGGGGCACAGAATGGTGATTTCATGGGCATAAAAATGGTGATTTGCTAGTGACTGCATGGTGATTTTTGCTGGGATTTTTGCTGGATGATTTGGGGATTTCGGAAGTGGGCGATTCCAAAATCACCATGGTTGTTTCAATACAAAGAGTCCTGGTCATCCATGACTTGGATGATTTGGGGGTCCATTTTAGGAAACCTATGGATATGTCAGAAAATGGGGGATTCCATGGTCTACCCATATACCCTCAACACTTGCATTTTTTGGAAGGGACATGTGGATAAAGCACTGGATTGTGGGTACCTTGTTTTCAATCAACCTCATTTTCCTCTTTTTCCAAAGGTGGCTTTCGAGGTATGCAATTGTTTCAACCAGAAAACGCCATCGCAGGTGCAACAATGGAACATAATGGACTGTTTGCCTTCTTAGCAATTCGCTTTTGTTACATGGATTGAAGATCTTGAAGTCCAATCCTTGATCTGAATCACCCTCTGGTAAACTAACATAGCTATTGAGAATGGCCATTTAGTTCGTTGATTGACCCATGAAAAATGATGATTTTCCATAACTAAACTCTTAGTTTACCATGATCTTTACCCCCATTGGAAAAAAACCTTCTCCTGGCGCTCATCTGACGAGGCTTTGAGGCTTTGAGTGATTTGCCCAACCAGGCCATCCAATCCCGGTGGGGACCGTGAAAAAAGGTCCGTGTCTTGAACCCATCATTTTGGTCATTGTCAGCAGAAAAACCATGGCCGGAATTTGAGTGTGCTTTGTATGGTAATCCTGTGGACGGAGTGAGAAAAGCTCCATTTTTAAGTGTGGATCCATTCAGATCCCATCGGAAAACATGGGGCTGATTGATTCAAGGGTTTGTCTCAATATAGTAGGGTAACATGGCTATTTGGGGGTACCATTTTTGGACAAGCCAGAAATCTCTCCACACAGAGAACATCTGCAATTGACTGAACATCACCCTCTGGTAATTTAACCCTTTGGTAATTTAACAGTTCGCTATGGAAACTCTCAATTTCTCTAATAATCGGTAAACATCATCGAACTAAGTGGGCAAGTTCCGATAGAATTTGAATTATATTTATGTTTCTATTATTGCGCTTGACATCGTTTTTTTCGATATGTCAACTGATGGGAAAATCCACACCTTCCACGGCCTTAGTTGATATGTCATTGCTCGTGGCTTATCTCACCCTCCACAGATTTTTTACAACCTCTATTGATTCCACACATTCCTAGCTGTATCATATATTAGATATGTTACATCTATTAAAATATAAATGATATTTACATATATATGATATGTATATATATATATGATATGTATATATATGTGATATGTAAAAATATATATATATGATATGTATATATATATGATATGTATATATATATGATATGTATATATATATGATATGTATGTATATATATATGTATATGTACATTTGTATACACATATATTTATTTAGTTATATATATATGTAAACATATATATATGTAAACACATATATATATATATATATATATATGTATGTATATATATAGGTAAGCATATATATATATGTATATGTATATGTATATGTATATATATATATGCATATATGTATGTATATATACATATATATATATATATATGTATATATATATATATATTCATGTATATTACATATTATATATAATATATATCATATCATATATATATATATACAAAATAAGATTGTATAAATAATAATATGTATATATATATATGTATATATATGGAGGTTTCCTAAAATAGGACTGCTCTACTCCGTTGCATCATCGATTCATAGATTTTCCCACAGCAACCATCCAGCTGGGGACCCCCATAACGTCCGCCAGGTTGGAGCCTTAACCTTCGAAGGTCGTAGAGTCGAAACCGCTTTGTACCATCGCGAGTGCGTGGCTTGGCTGCTTCGCTGGGATTGGCTGCGTGAAGATTTGGAAAAAAACCATTCAGAATGAGTTCTCATATTTTTGGACGATCTACTGGGTTTTCCACAGACCTTTACAGGAGGGTAAGCGTGAAAAACTTTACGAAGTATTGGCGTGGGGTTATTTTTAGTATTTTTTATGGAAAACCCCATGCTTTCTGCGGGGAAAACAGGGTTTCTGAAGGCTTGAGATGGCTGTCATGGTCATCTCAGGGACCTCTTAGGTACGAGGAAACCAGCAAAAAATCATAAAATCATGACCAACAAGGTACCATTTTATCATCGATTTTCAATGTAACTAGACCACGGTACATTTCGAATCATTTTGTAATACATTTTTTAATTTGGATGACACAGCAACTGGTAAGGAATGATGTGGAGAAAGTGGTGGAAAAAAACATGGTGAGGATTGGGAACTCACAGGCTGCCAGGTGTCGTTTTGAAGTTTACCAAGCCAGGCACTTAAGGCACTTAAGGCACTGAAAATCAGAAAAATCATTTTGATTCATTTTTGGGAAATCTACCATCTGGTTATTTAACATAGCCATAGAAAATCACCATGTTTAATAGGTAAACCATCTATAAATGTGCCATTTTCCATGGCTATGTTAAATAACCAGAGGGTATGGATCAAATTTCTACAGGGATTTTCGATGGTTTTTTAAGTACCAAGACTTTATGGCTATGTCCTGATGAAACCCTGATCAAGTTGGGAGACACATCCCCGACATGGTACGAAAAAACGTTTTACAATGGAAACTACTCCCATGTATTTTCCAGGTCAATCGACTGGATGGGTAGAAGCTAATCCTTTGTCTTTTGCTATGGGATTCTCTTCTAACCAGCTAAGAATTTGTCATTTTTTGCAGGGTATCTGGCTGATTGGCCTTTTTGTTTAAGAGGATTTGTCCTATGATTTTCCGAGCGGAGGAATGGATATGGATATGAGATGATATGAGGACACCCCCCCGAGCTCAGGCGCCATGTGACACCCACGACCAAGGTATGGAATCCCAAGACGCAGCGCTTGATCTTCGAATCTGAGACCGGTCGAGCAGTCTCTCCTTTGACGCGGAAGCAGGTGGAACGGCATGGAACGGCGTGGAACGGCGTGGAACGGCGTGGAATGGTGGAAGGGTTCCTGGAGGGCTAGATATGGAAAGGGATCACCTGAATCTCTTGCCGGATAAATTTTGATAACCAGCTAATCGTGAAATATTTTGAATAGATCCAGCCTGAGCCGTTGTTTTCGGGGGAACTCATATTGGAAGGGATTGATGACACCGGGTTAAAGTGGATGGTTCTTGAAATATTCGGACACTTTTCAATATGGACATATATATATATGATATAATATAACATAATATAATATAATTTAATATAATATAACATAATATAATATAATATAATAATTATAATATAATACAATAGATAGTTCATCTTATTTCATGGTCGGTTTGGGAGTTTGGGAGGTATGTCAGCAAAGCAACCACGAAAAGGCAAGTGATTATTGATATTTGGGTACCCCAATGATCCTTAATGGACATTGCGATGTGGACATTGAGAGATGATATTCTTAATTCACTGGAATTTGGGGTGCACTATTTTGATTTGAGGACTCACCAATTTGGGTTGAGCTTGAGGTCCGATTTTTGTTTACCCTTTGCCATCCTTTTGTTTCTGACGAACATTACGCCCTTGGCCACAGATATTTGGAGACCCAGTCAGATGGAGCTCAACATTTGCAACCTGCAACGCCGCCAATCGCATGGTTCAAGTTTAACACATCATTTTCTTGATAAAGATGGCCCAAAGTGGGAGGCAACTCTGGTTCAACCAGATCTGTAATTCGAGTGGCTTTACTGGCTTCACCATACATTGTCTTACTGGTGCTTAGTAGGGAATGGATGGGAATGGGGGAATGGGATTATTATTGATAATTATCGTGGATCATTCCCTCATTCCCTACTAAGCACAAGTAAGTTGTTAGGATCAGGGGAAACTGCCCTGAATCAAATGTGGCAGCTGAGATTTTCCGCCGATGATTTCCCCCCCAAAAAAATTCTCCATATTTCTTGTCGATTTTCCCATGGGAGTGTACCTGAAATGGGCCGGTGGTTGTTGGTTTGGGAATGACTGTAACCCAGATGCACCATCATCACCATCCATCTACCATCAAATATCATCAACCTTTTGGGTTTTTCTGAACATAGGCTGCAGAAAAATTGATGGTTTGGAATCTCATTCCCCCTACTTCAATGATCGCTTGGGGGGTATCCCCGTTCAAGGTTGGGTGGTATACCCAGTTTTGGGGGCATGGTCATCCACCATTCCCCATTCCTAGGAATTTACATAGCCACTATACGGTAACGACATTTAAATATCCGAAAGTGGAAGGCGGGCCAGACCAGTTTAGGCCCCGGAGGTAGGAAATGTACCCTCTGGCTATTTAACATAGCGAACTGGAAGCCATGGCCCATAGAAACAGATGATTTTCCCCATAAATTCCAAACCTCCATTTATTTTGGGGATTTTCCAGCCAGCTATGTTTTTCATAACCAGATGGTATGTTTAAATCAATTGGATACACACCGTATTTGTTTTGAAAAAATGGCCGGACGGGCCGGAGGGGTTCAAACCTTCGGATGCTCGGCCACTCAGAGAATGGCACGGTTTCCCCCCTCTTTTTAAGAGGAATTTTTGTCGAGACCCATAATCTGGATTCGTTCATATTTTTTGGGGGGATGAAGTCATCCAGATTTACAAGAGCTATATTTTTCTTGATGTGCACAAAAGGCTACTAGGGTGACCCATAGCCATGAATATTGGAGAAAGAGCAGCCTGGTTATTTCTGGCTATGGATCGGAACATCTCACAACCATTCTATAAAAATCCGCTAATCAAAGGTGGCAACTGCAAAATCCCATCGGTTTTCTCATTCAAACCTTGATTTATGGTGCATTTTTCAACCAGCTTTGATGACACCGGGGCGAAAAAAATTGCAGGTGGACAATTTCAAGTTGATGCCCAGTTTGACCGAGTCCAACGAGTGGGTTCAGTTCCTGGTGTCTTGGTCATGACCTTTGATGACGTCAATGGAATCATAGCCTTAGATTTAATAGCTTGATTAGCTTCTGGTATATTAACAAAGACCCTGGCAGCTAGGGGTTGGAAGATGAGTGAAACCATTAAAACTAGGCTATTTTCAGGGTCGATGTTAATTTACCAGAGGGTAATAGCCTTATTTCAGGTGAATGATATGAATAATTAAATATATCAAGTTACAATATATAATTTGTAGAGTATATCCGGATATGTTGGGGATGGATATGTTAGGGCTTTTTTTTGTTGAGGAACTTTTTTGATGATCTCGCTGATTTAAGGGATGATCATCCCCGGAGATCTTTCAGGGCTCTGGGCCCAACAGTTGGGAACGGATCACTAGTTTTCTATATAGTCCAGAACGGAGCCCTGACATACCATCTGGAAGTATATATGGAAAATATATGAAACATATTCTCACATAGTTTCTCTTATGTTTTCCATATATACTTCCAGATGGTATGTCAGAAACTATGTGAGAATATGTCTCGTGTGTCAGGGTGGGGATCACTCGAAGTTCTTGCAGTTTCCATCGGATTTTGGATAAGGTTGAAACCATCTGCGATATCTTGGGAGCATTTTTCATAGCTGATGTTTGGACTGGTCCAACTGTTAAAGCAGAATCATCAGAGGTTGGTTGTGGCTACTTCGAGGGTCAAGGCATACATTGGTAGACACCATCAGATTGGTGAAAACCCCGGCGCCCATAGTTTGGAGGTCTGGACACTCTAGAGTTCAAGAAAACCGGGTTGGTCGACAGGTTATTTGGCTTTGGTTTAGTCTTATCTTTGGTGATTTTTATAGTGTCTATTTTTCAGCTTGGTCTTGTTCTTTGATCGATTGTGGATTTAGGGCTGGTTTTCGCTTTGGATCTGGCGAACCATTCATGGGTAAAAACAAAGGGCACCGTCCTGGCGTCAGCTTCAAATAGGGTGCTTCAATGGTGACATTTTATACCTCAACACCAGAGTTTTGACCCAATTTCGACCCATGAACACCTTCAGATGGGTGGGTTCATCAGTTACTGGGGTAAAACCAAAAGGAGATTTTCCGAAAAGCAATGATTTCCCGGGAATGATCTACATTCACAGTGGCTTCTCCACATTTCTTTGCATGTTTCTGGGTAAATTACAATAATTAACCTGAAATATTGGGTCATTTTGGGATGATTCCCCTAAAATAAACCATGATTCCAGGGTTCGGGAGAACAGTGAGGTCATTATAATTTACCCAGATGTTTACAGGGCGATAGATCCCTAATGCCGTTGAAATCTCTACATCTTTGGCCCCCAGGATTGGAATGGCAGTGGCGAGCTAGACGTGCAGAAGGTGAAATTGGGGGAAACCAACGTGCTGAAGTGGACTGTGGCTGGTTGGGAAATCCGCCACTAAAAGGATGGTTGAAACCCGAACTAAATTTCATGGGATGTTTACCATCAACTGGTGATTTCTCAACCATCCCTTGGAAATAGGGAAATCTCCTGAAAAAACGCGAGCAATCACATGATTAAAGTCCATCCGAGGAATGAGTTTTCACGATATATATAGATGTTTCACCCACAGGTGGATTTACCCTCTGGTAAACTAACATAACTATGGAAAATCACAATTTTTAATGGATAAATCCACTATAAATCACCATTTTCAATAGCTATGTTTGTTTACCAGGGGGTTCCAATAGTAAATGGACATGGGAAGAGAGCCAGCTATACAAAGGGCATTTTTTCATTGAACTGCTCACTGATCATTTGATGTTTCAGATTCTGAGTTTTCATACTTCTTGGTGAAACTGGTGCTTTGAAATCTCATCATCATGCTATTCCCCACGTATTTTGGAGCTGAATCCCCCCCTTCAATTGGGATTGGGGCGACGCTGACCGTGATTTCACGGACACAACTCGGAGCTACAGGGCTATGTGTCTGTGTGGATATGTGCATATTATATACTGGTTGGTGGTTCCAAACATTTTTTATTGTCCATAACATATGGGGTATCATCCTTCCCATTGACTAATATTTTTCAAGATGGTTAAAACCACCAACCAGTACAGTATATACATATATATATATATATACGGGTTAATAATTGATAATGGTTTAATAATGGCTTAACAATGGTTAAATAGTGGTAATGGTGATGAAACAATGGGAAGCATGATATCTCTGGGTCAATTTCATCACCGAGCCCTGTGAACTCCCTCTAAAAAATCATGGCTTGATGATTTTAGGGGAAATCATCGCCAGCCCAACATATCAGGTTAGTGAAATATTATAAGTGGTGAAATATAATATATATATATATGTATATCCACTTAGTTCACTGACTAGGGTTATAGATGAGTATCTGGCTGGTGGTTTCAAACATGAATTTTATTTTCCATTTCATATATGGGATGTCATACTTCCCATTGACGAACTCATATTTTTCAAAATGGTTATTGCACTTCCAACCAGTATATATCATTACTATTCAAGCGCTGCTTTCAGTTATCGCCACTATCAATATTATCCTCATCATTAGCATTAGTACTGTTTAATATACTTTTAATACCGTTACAAGCATTAGGAACTATTATTGCAAAACAACTAGCAAATTATCATTAACAATGAGACTAATTTGGTAGTCATTCTGATTGCTGATGGTTATAATACCAAATATCAATGCTACCAAATAAACTACTGCCATTAGTTACAGTTAACGAATACCATTCTGAGTAGTAACCAAGAAACTAAACATATATAACTATAATTCTTGGGTATTGTTAACTATAACTAATGGTAATACAAAATACAATTATTGTCATTGTTCTCACCCCAAGAATTTCTGTCGCTTGGGATGCTGATTTTTGCGGCTTCATCCAACGGTCGAATCTGGGTGATCACCCAGATATGGAGCTTTCCATCAATGGAGGTACTACAAGCGAGCATTGGATGGTTTATTTCATGGAACATCCATCTATAAATGGATGAGAACTGGGGGTACCCCCATGACTTAGGAAGCCTCCATATGGGCGTTTATCATAAGGCATTGTACTCAAATTATGATAATTTCACCATCTATGATATGACATATTTACGCGCTGACACCATCGTTTGCCCAAGAATTCAAAGGCCACAACATGTTCATATATCTTAAGATAACTATCAATACTTGTTGATCTGCATGAGATGATCATATATGTTGGGATATTGATCATACCATACGGATTAGCATATAGATGCATGGTAATTGTGGTTGGATACATATAATACCATGTGGGGTCTCTGTTCTGTTCAAACAACCAACTAATTAATCGTGCTGATTCAATGTTCATCCATATCTGAAGTTCATGGCAACATTGACACTTCGCCCTGCCGCAGTAACATACAGTTGCAGCCCAAAGGGAATCAAGGCTTGGCAGCTCTTGTTGGATTGGCTCACGCCAGCAGAGCGGGCCCGTCTCACCCGCCGAGAAGTTGAGTGGGTCAGGACGGTAGCCCGGAATACTCACGGAAACATCAAGAGATGCTACAAAGTGTTTATAAGATTACCATCTTCCCCGTGACCCCCCTGCGAAACACGTATCATTACCATTTTTTTTTTTGGGCGGGGGGTATCCTGCTTGTTCATCATCATTACATGCAAGATTCTTCCCCATTACCCCTGAAGCCTTCATGATGACAATGATGATCCTTCCGGGTCCGGGCAAACGATGGCGTTTGACCGAAGATTTACTATGAACTAGGGCATGATTGTTGGTGGGTTTTATACTGCACTGTTTTTTTTTTAATGGGGATTGTGATCACCCACATTAGGGAAACCTTTTAATCAACCGGTATAATGACATGGGACAGAGGTATCTTTAATGGCTCAACTGGCAATGGTAAGTTACGGGCAGTTATCACAGCAAAACAGGGGAAAACAGCGACAAAATGGGACTTGCCCACCTTTAATGGAATCTTGATGGGATATTCATGACACGGGATTTAATGGGATTCAGAATCAGCAACCTAATATTTAGGTTTGGTACCTGGACTTGGGGGATACCAGAAGATGATAAAAAATGGCCGGTATAAACCATTGGATTTTGTTTTTTTTTGTCGCGTTATCGTCAGACAAACCCAAATAGATCAAAATAACCAATCAGCAGGACATGTTGATTTTGGCATGGCCAGGTTGCCAAGTGGGACTGCCCTTGACATTTGCATGGGACCTTAACAAAAGATTTGATCGGTTGGGAAAACCATGTTTGGGTACCCTGTAGTAATTTTAACATAGCTTTGGAAGATGGACCATTTACAGATGTTTTACCTTTTAAAATTGTGATTTTCCACAGCTATGTTAGTTTACCAGAGGGTATACGGTATGATATTTTTCATGTTTCATGTTGTCCGCAGGTTTGCTTGGCAGTGGTTGCGCTGCTTCCAGCTTCTTGGCATTGATTCGGATGTTGTTTCAAAAACTATGCTTGCCATTCATCCTATATTTTTTGTCAGCGGGCTTGAAAGCTTCGTTAGACCCTAGGGTCTTAGGTCGTGGTCCGGCGAGGATCACCGGCAAATCAACTTCGAATTCCAACGTGTTGAACCGGGTTTCCATGTTGCACTGGCCTGAACTACGGACAATTTACAGAAAACTCAACTATACCACTCTGGATCCTATCATCTACCATCTCAATATACCAATGACCATCCTAATAGCACTTTAATAGCAATGCTACTCCCGACTTTCTTGCGCATCCCAGGATTCATAAGTGGTTTTTCACCCAGATACATCACTGGGGATATTCCATATAAAACTGGGTTATACCGTAGTATAGTTATGAGTTATGACCCACTTACCAACTGGGATGCACCCCCAGGTACCACTAGTTGCGGGCAGTTCCAACCAAGTGGATAGGTTTTACTATAGTTACAGAGGCTATATCCAGAGTTATGGGTGCTTATTACCATAGTTACCTGGGTTAGCATATCCAAACATGGCAAGGGACCATTCCCCACGTGTTTTTCTAATTTTTCCATTAACATTTCCAGTTTTACAGGTGGCTTTCCGCCATCTTTTGAGTACCAGAGGGTACATCGATCCAAGTGCACCGCGGCCCAGGTAGATGATGCCTATGCCAGGAAACTCGTGTTGCAGGTGCCACCTGTATATGGGAAAAAATGGGACATGATATGCCTGATACCTTACGTTGGTGTATATATGTATAGATATGGATATGTCGATATATGGAATTATGGATATACATATATACACGTATATATGAGAGTCGTTCCAAAGGTCCATGTAAGCGGTTTTTAATTGCTAAGGCCGCTGGGGTTTCAACATGAGAGCCCACGAAAGCTTTTTTTCTGAGTTCGCCAAAGTAACTTTCCTTTTGGCAAAAGATTTAGCGAAAGATTTTAACATGAGACCCCCGCCAAAGATAAACGTGGGGTTCGCGAAAGATTCGCGAAAGTAAATCTTTGATTCGCGAAGAATGGCCGTTTGCAGATAAAGGAAGTTAGAACAACCGCCATATGTATACATGTATACATTTACATATGTGCAGATGAATATAAACGGATAAATGGATATATGATGGATACACGGATATATGGATACATGGGTACATGGATACATACATACATATATACATACATGGATACATACATGCAGGCATGCATACATACCTACATTCATGCATACATGCATGCAAACATACATACAGACATGCATACATACATACATGCATGCATACCTACATACATGCATACATGCATGCATACATACATACGTACATACGTACGTACATACGTACGTACATACATACATACATATATACATTACATGCATTACATACATTACATACATTACAGACATTACAGACATTACAGACATTACATACATTACATGCATTACATACATTACATACATTACATACATGACATACATTACATACATTACATACATTACATACATTACATACATTACATACATTACATACATTACATACATTACACACATTACATACATTACATACATTACATACATTACATACATTACATACATTGCATACATTGCATACATTGCATACATTACATACATTACATACATTACATACATTACATACATTACATACATTACATACATTACATACATTACATATTTTACATACATTACATACATTACATACATTACATACATTACATACATTACATACATTACATACATTACATACATTACATACATACCATACATACCATACATACCATACATACATACATACATTACATGACATGACATGACGTGACGTGACATTACATTACATTGCATGCATTACATACCATACATACCATACATACATACATACATTACATTACATGACATGACATGACGTGACGTGACATTACATTACATTACATGCATACACACGTACATACATACATACATACATACATACATACGTACATACATACATACATACATACATACATACATACACACATACATACATACATACATACATACATACATACATACATACATACATACATACATACATACATACATACACACATACATACACACATACACACATCCACACATACACACATCCACACATACACACATATACACACGCACACGCATATATATATATATATGTATATTTACACATACATATATATATATATATGAATAAATATACATTAATATGCATATATCACACCTATATGCAAATACACTTGTGCAGATAGTTACAACAATTGGAAAGAGACAGTCTGGGTAAATTGTGTTCATTTTCTGCCTGAAGAAACTCGTGATGGCACACTTTTTCCCGCTTCCTGAGCTGAAAATGCGTCAGCAATTTTGCCCATCTATAGATCCAAAGATCGTTGGCTATCACCAACATGAAGCAAATAATCATTGGGGGATAGAAATGTGTATGTATGTGATAATATATAGTTTTAATATATAATAATAATGAAATAACAGTAATACTTTAAATCATTATATATATCATAATATATTTTTATATTTCAATATTTATAATAGTGTATATATAATAATATGTATAACAATGTATACAATCATATATATAATAGTATTTATATTGTAGATAAATAAATAAATAAATATTTATATATATTATAAATAATAACAATAATATCTATATATATATATATTTGATTATATATTTAATAATACATATATATGTATACTAGTATTTGTAATAATCTGTATATATATATATAAACTGTATAATAATACTAATAATATAAATATATATGTTTCCTATTATGTTTTATTATATTGTATTATACTATATTATATCATACTATTTTTTATTTTTTTTAAATATTTTATTATATTATATATTATACTATATTATATTATATTATATTTTATATTTTAAATATGATATATATATATATACAGAAGGGGTACTCATGGGGGGCGCAGGTGTGCAAATTGTAGAATTTCGCATTTTTTGAGAGGTACTGTGATGAAAGCATCTTCACATGAAAAACATGCAAAAAAAACAATGGAAAAAAATCAGACCCATGTCCCCAGCCAGGCCTCTCCCCAGACCTTGCCCATGGGTCTGAACTTTTTGTTTTTTTTGGTTTTCTCGAGGTTTTGGCCAAACTGCAAAAAATCATGGAAAAACAAAAAAAAAACAAAAAAAACAAAAAGTTCAGACCCATGTCCCCAGCCAGGCCTCTCCCCAGACCTTGCCCATGGGTCTGAATTTTTTGTTTTTTTTGTTTTTTTTTGGTTTTCTCGAGATTTTGGCCAAACTGCAAAAAATCATGGAAAAACAAAAAAAAACAACAAAAAGTTCAGACCCATGTCCCCAGCAAGGCCTCTCCCCAGACCTTGCCCCTGGGTCTGAACTTTTTGTTTTTTTGTTTGTTTTGGTTTTCTGGAGGTTTTGGCCAAATATAATGATTAATATCATGGTTCATAGAATGATAAATATAATGATTAATTTGAATGATTCTTTGAATGGTTTATATAATGACTAATATAATGATTTTTTATATATATATATATAATGATTAGTATAATGATTAATATCATGAGTCCTATCATGATATATATCATGATTAATCTCATGATTCATTTAATGACTTATATAATGAATATTATAATGATTAATATTATGATTAATGTAATGACTGATATAATTCTGAATTTAATGACTAATATAACAAAATCAGGACTTTCACAACCTCGCCCCCCATGACTACCCGCTCTCTCTCTCTCTATATATATATATTTATAGGAAAACATTTGAATATGGATCAAAACATATTCTTGAGGGGATGAAACTCCATAAATCGCAGTTATTTTGCCGTGAGCAGAAGGGTATCAGGGTTTTGATCCACACCAACCATAATAACTTGGGAATATGACTGGCGGTTCGAACACTATTTCACGCCTGCCAGGTACTTGGCAGAAACGGATGAATTGCCAGCACTGAAAGCGAAGATAACCAGCAATGCTAGGGATGTAGCCAATAAACTGTTCACTGGTGCTTGGCCCAATTCGTTTTCAATCCTATGTGGCGAGCGTATTGATTCAAACCACCAACTGGGGCTGGACGACATCGTTTTGATTTGGAATGGGATGCGGAATTTTGAGACATCCCCAGGGTGGTTATGGGTCCAATTCTCAAAAAGAAGTCGTTGATTTGGGTCATTTAGTAATTTAGTCCTATTGACATACATTGACACGTATTTTTACATCACCCTCTGGTACCATCTGGTAAACTAACATAACTATGGAAAATCACCAATTTCATTGGGTAAATCCACTACAAATGGTCCATTTTCAATAGCAAACTGTTGACATAACCAGGCCGGGTAATCAGAATCAGCAGACCATGGCTTGGTTCGATGACTTTCCCAGCAGTCGACCCCTTGTTATGGGGGTTTCCCATGTTCGAATAGGAGAGGGTATATCCATGTAATTCCATGTATATCCCATTCAATTCCAGATCATTCCAAATCCATATCCGATTCAAGTCCCATTACACCCACGGAATTCCTCCATGTTTCATGAAAAACCCCTGTTTGCGTCGTGAGGTCTTACACCTTGAAGAGTCAGAGGGTGTGGAAAGTCATGCTGTCAGTCAGCCCGAGGTGCGAGTTAGTGGGCCTCCGGTCATCAAACGAGGCTAGTTGGGAAATCCCTATAAATAGAGGTTTTAATCAGGAAAATCGAACTCAATGGTAGAAATTCCAGCGATGTTTGATTACCCCAACATTTCATTAAAATTTTATGGGGATTTGCTATGATGGGAATTGATAACCAACTTGATATGGCTGGGTTTGTGTACATGAAAATGGACTTCAAACAATTGGACGGAATCGGGTACCAAATGTTCAGACAAACTCAAGTGTTTTCATGGGTGGATTTTGAGGCGTCAAATGATGCAAAATAATAAAAGTCCCATCCTACTATGAGTTCACTTTCTTTCATGGGAATCGGAGTATTTAAGATTTGACATGATTTGAGGTCCAGAGAGTGGGAAACAGGACCAACAATCCAGTAAACATCAGTAAACTGCCCCACAATTGGATAGTGAACAGCCATCGTTTGCCTAGACTCTAAGCCCAAAGGCCTCCCAAATGGTAGGGTGAATACCCCCAAAATCCCACGATTGATATTGCTTTTGTTCAGTAACATTGCAATTTTGATTTCAGGTATCTGGGGGATCCCTCGTTTTCTGAACCCAGGTGTATATGTATATAAAAGTTCTGACACAAACTGGACGCCACAAATTGCAAATGGGGATGATCATTGCTGTGGGATATCATGTGCATATCCCAACCCTGTTCACTTGTCCTATAGATAATACAAAGTTTTTTCTTTTGTTCCCCACCATTCCCCACCCATGTCAGTCTTGTTTTCCGCACAAGCTGTTTATAGAATGGGCTAGCGCCCGGGTGCCGCCGACCCCCCTATTTGGGGGGTCCTGCAGAGAGAGGGAGAGAGATAGATAGATGGATGGATGGATGGATGGATGGATAGATAGGTAGAGAGAGAGAGAGAGAGATAGACAGATAGATAGATAGACAGTTGGATAGACAGATAAGTAGATGGAGAGATAGATGGACGGATAGCTGGATGGATAGATAGATAGATGGATAGATAGATAGAGAGGGAGAGATAGATAGAGGGGGAGAGAAAGATAGAGAGGGAGAGATAGATAGATAGAGAGGGAGAGATAGATACTCCGACGGCATCCGACGGCATCAGCGGTTCAGTGGGTCAGTGGCGCGTCGCTTCCGGCGGGCCGTGCTGAGGTCGATGGTGGTACATGGTGGGACAGACATGGACATATATGTTTTGATATGCCCCAACATGCCGCAATTCAATTTGCCACACAATGTGCAATGTGTATGCAATGAGTATGACGCTAAAAATTTGAAGTCAGACCTCAGTTCATATTTTTAAGCATATTTGGCCTCCTATCATTGTATGATTGGTGGTAGAGTATCATTGATTTTGAAACTCAGGGATAATCAAGGGTACTGATCTCCGGAAGCTGCTGAGCTTGCCGCGCCAGGGCCACGAGTTGTGGCGCCTCATCATCGCCATGGCCTGGAGCTTCACATGGTGGGGCCGAGGGGTTGGGGGATGGGGATGGGGTTGGGGATGGGGTGGGGTTGCTGTGTTGGGGGTATCAAAAATATACTAAAAAATGGGTGATGTGGGGTTTTGCGGGCTGGCAAACGGCAGGCTTGAGCCACCATAAAAGGACAATGCCGGGGCTGGCAAACGGCATGGGAGCTGCAGGGAAGCATTTGGGGCGTTTGGAAGGCTCCAAAACGGAGGCTTGAACCTCCATAAAAGGACAATGCCGGGGCTGGCAAACGGCATAGGAGCTGCAGGGAAGCATTTGGGGGGTTTTGCGGGCGGGCAAACGGCAGGCTTGAACCACCATAAAAGGACAATGCCGGGGCTGGCAAACGGCATGGGAGCTGCAGGGAAGCATTTGGGGCGTTTTGCGGGCTGGCAAACGGCAGGCTTGAACCACCATAAAAGGACAATGCCGGGGCTGGCAAACGGCATGGGAGCTGCAGGGAAGCATTTGGGGGGTTTTGCGGGCGGGCAAACGGCAGGCTTGAACCACCATAAAAGGCCAATGCCGGGGCTGGCAAACGGCA